GGTTGTACCTAACAAATTACTGTGACCCAAACTACTCTCTCTCTCTCTCTCTCTCTCTCTCACACACACACACACACATATACAAACCCTTTTGTTAAAAATAAAATTGAAATAAATTTCAAAATGAAAAGTCAAAATGTTTCCGTTTCAAAATCTTCAATTAAATATTTCAGCTTTTTTTGGAACACTTGGTTAGTTGGTTTTTCACACAAAATTCACTCAGTTTGACACTGTCACAGGGTAACTGGTGAGCCCAATTCAGACAATGGGTCTGGGATACATCTGGGACTATAAAAGGCCATCAGAGGACAGGAAGTGAGAGGTGGAAGGGAGTGATGGGGACAGGAAAGGATGCCACACCAGAGTGGAGCTAACACCTGTGGTGGTTCCCTGGAGCAAGGGGACAGATGCTCAGGGAAGCCGCTCTGGGTCGACTGCTCCAGGAAGGGAGCATAGCTGACTAGACCTGGGAAGCTGTCATGAGCAGAAGCCCCAGAGAATCCTGGGAGGGGTGGCACTGAAGCTAGGGTTGCCAGGCATCCGTTTTTTAACTGGAACACCCAGTTGAAAAAGGATCCTGGCAGCTCTGATCAGAACGGCTGACCGGGCCATTAAAAGTTCAGTTGGTGTGGGACTGGCAGGCTCCCTACCTGGCTCTATGCATCTCCCAGGAAGTGGCTGGCACTTCCCTCTGGCTCCTAGGCAGAGGGGTGACCTCGGGGTTCTGCGCACTGCCTCCACCCTGAGCACTGGCTCCGCAGCTCCCATTGGCCAATGGGAGCTGTGGGGGCGTCGCCTGCAGGCAGGGGCAGTGAGCCCTGGCCACCTCTCCACCTAGGAGCCGGAGGGACATGCTTTCTGGGAGCCACCTGAGGTAAGTGCTGCCAAAAGCCTTCACTCCTCACACCCCCCCTCCGCACCCTAACCCACTGCCCCAGCCCTGAGCCCCCTCCTGCAACTCAAATTGCTCATCCCCAGCCCCACCCCAGAGCCCACCCCCCCATGCACTCCAAACCCCTCAGCCCCAGTCCAGAGCACCCTCCTGCACTCCAAATCTCTCATCCCCAGCCCCATCCCAGAGCCCACACCCCCAGATGCAGCCCTCATCCCCTCCCACACCCCAACTCCCTGCTCCTGCCCGGTGAAAATGAGCAAGTGAGTGAGGGTGTGGGAGAGCAAGCGACGGACGGAGGGATGGAGTGAGCAGGGGCGGGGCCTTAGAGAAAAGGCAGGGCGGAGCATGGCCTTGGTGAAGGGGTGGGGCAAGGGTGTTCGGATTTCCGTGATTAGAAAGTTGGCAACCCTATCTGAAGCCTGAAAGAAAAGAGGTGAGTTCGAAGACTGTTTTCTATTGGTTTACTTGCCTTTTTAAGAGAATAAACCTTCTTAAAGGAGACTGGGCAAGGTAGCTAGTGTTTGGAAGCCCAGCAGAAGCCCTGCCCTGCGACAGACATGGATTTGCAAATGTTTCAGATGTCCTGAATTTGGATTTTTCACTGAAAAAAGTTTCAGCTGAACATTTTCACCCAACTGTAACCTTAACAGAAATGTCAGACAGTACAAAAAATACTCATTTCTCATTGATTCCAGCACTGCTCTCAGAGGAGTTATTCACAATGGGAAATGACACAGGATTAGAACACTTAGTGTATACAACGATTGAAGCATTGAAATCTGTTTTA